TCTCACAGCTTATATTTGTCTGAGTTTCTAACTAGCAGTTCTTTACTTAATAAAGTGATTGATGGCTTAGACTGCTTGTTACTTTCAAAACCTAAACCAAAACATTCCCACCGTATTGCCCAAAATTTCTGGCCACGAACCCTCTTAAATAAACACCACATAGACCACACTGTATAAGCAGACTTCTGGAGCCATCATTTGGTCGCATACCCCTATTATGTTTAAATTCTTATTCGCGATTTCTGAATGCATCGTGGGGCAAGACTTTCAGAGTAAAATGGGCCAATGGCAGATTACCATTAACTGAATACTGTTGTTGGACTACCATTAAGCAATGTATATTTTGTGCCTCCTTAAAAGAAGGACAAAGCCTGCTCCCTTAGCAACAGTCTCTTTTTCTTCATCCGCCGATTTTGGAACCAAATTTTAACCTGTTGGTCGCTGAGATTGAGCCTGTCAGACAGCTCCCTACGTCGCTGCCGGGTGATGAACTCGTTCAGCATGAACTCTCCCTCAAGCTCGGCCAGCTGCAGTTTGGAATAGGGCTTTCGCTTCTTGCGCGTCCGGGTGTGCATCGGGTACCACGGGGCACCTAGAGGGGGCAAAGCACGGGTTCATGAGAGAGCTGCAAACCATCTCCTAGGCCAGCACATCAAAATCTCTCCACATCTCGAAGCCACGTAAAATACAAATTTCTGGTGCATTTTTTGAGGCTGTTCACATGACAATTAGACGTTATTCAGTAACAATCTGAAGTACAATGCAAGATGTCGATATGAAGAATTTATCGGTTTAGACAGAATTAATACCTTAGAATGTTTGCCGGTCTAGTTAAACGTACAGTAACGCGATAATTGTCCTGTTTGTAAGAACCCTATCTATTTAGCGGTTTCATGGCATATTGAATGACTTGCAGCACGACAACGATATTAATTCAGTTTACGAGTCATTAAAAAACGTCCTCTTTTTCGGTCAAAGCAACTGCCAGTTTACAGATCTGTTCTACTTACTAAAATAACACGAAAGCTTTGGCCAAACGTATATTTAACAACAATGACTATGTTTTTATGTAAACGGCGTCAAACATTGGCAACGGGATAGCTGAATTTTATGATGTTGTGTTTACTGGTTGTATAAATGACTGAGGGCTTAAATTGGTGAACACGGAGCATTTTAGGGCAACCCCTAGTGGCCTTGAACAACCACGCAAGAACCATGCAGGAAAATCATAACAGTTGCCAGGGAATGCCTAAATAAACTGTCATGCAAAAAAAATTGCTGGCGCAAGTTATGAGTAATTGTACTATGTGCTTCTGTTGTCTTTCAGCGGAGAAATGCGAAGGACAAACCTCCTCCAGTGGCGATATTGCTTGCGTGGTTTCCTTGCGATAGCAGGGTTTGTGGGTCGCCTGCTGAAGTCTTTCCTCCTTCGTTTAGCACTGAAGAACTGGAGTCGGACTCCAAGGACTGACAGGATGGCGGGTCTTGGGTCAGTTGCTCGGTGCCATAATCATACTTTGAGAAGGTGCCACTGTTGCCCATCCCATTGTGCATCCCGTGATCAGACGATAATAATGTATCTCTTGCTCGCTCCTCTCGTTTGAGATTGTTGCTGTCTGAACACGGCTCTCTGGTGCTGCTGGAATTGCCATAATAACACTTGCTTTCCTCCAGTCGGGTAATTTCACAAGATCGATTAAAAGAGGGGTTAATGGATACGGGACTG